ATGGTGTAAACCACAAGTTTGTATTTCATCAGGTATCAGTGTAGATAGAAGACTGTTTCTGATGAATATGGTGTAAACCACAAGTTTGTATTTCATCAGGTGTCAGTGTAGATAGAAGACTGTTTCTGATGAATATGGTGTAAAGAATAATTAAATGGTGTACACTTCTACAAAGTAACTATAAGTGTAATTGTTAGTTTATATTAGAATGTGTTTGTGTGTGTGTGTGCTTCACCTGTTTTATACTTTTCCCAATTTTCAGGGTCTCTTACCAAGAAAGAGAATGCATTGAGAGAATATGAAGAAAAACAACGTGTAATTCTAGAAGCTCGGAGAGCAGAGGAAAAGAAAAAAGCGAACAGAGGTATATATATATATATATATATATCTTGTTTTTAGTTTTCTGTTGTTTTGTGTTTTGATGCAATTTTGTAATTCAAAGCTGTAGTCTTCAAATTTTTGTTAATTAAACGTTTGCAAAGGGATTAAGGACGTGTGGAGATACGGGTAATTAAGATGCATGTTCCGTTGTTTGGTATAGACGTGTAGGCCTTTTTCACCACTAATAATCTAAAATACTTCAGTAATTACAGGATTATATATCAAAACCAACTACGCTGCTTACATTCCATCACTACGTGAAGCCTAGTTTATTAATTTGCTTTGTTCTTCCAACCGGCACTGATAAGCCATGAATTCAACAAAATTATTCCATTGTAGCAGGAGTAGTAAATCAAAGAATAGAATATGTCATCTTTTCTTCACTTAAATGTGTACATGTTACTTGTTTTTAATTATTTAAATTTGTTGTTATTTCAGAGGAGATGCTGTATCTAGCAAAGGAAAGCGGAGTTCCAGTACCTCCAAATTTCGAAGAGCAGTTTAAATGAATTTTCTCTGCTAGGGATGATTAATTAAGTATTGTTAAAGTAAACCAGTCATTCTTTCTGTTTAGAGCAAACCACTAAATACTAGATGTTCCATGATTACTGCAAATGTGGATTATTAGTGCAAATGTAGGGAACATGTGAAACTTATAATAAATGTTTGTTTTTCAAAAGAAAATGTTGATCTGATTAAACCTGCTTCTTGTATAGAGCTTGGAGTCAGAGGTTATTGTTAGTTTTGTATGCAGTAAGCTCACACATAGACATCAGTTATTTAGAAGCTTCGTATGCCAAGTTACATCAACTTTGAAGATTACAAACTTGCTGGTGGTTTTCTATGCCAAGTTATATCAACTTTAAAGATTAAAGCTTGCTGGTGGTTGTCTATGCCAAGTTATAACAACTTTGAAGATTACAAACTTGCTGGTGTTTGTCTATGCCAAGTTACTTCAACTTTGAAGATTACAAACTTGCTGGTGTTTGTCTA